AAAAAAAATTGTTGACAAAGTTTGTTTAGAATTGTTTCAGGAACAATTTTTGTTAACACAATTTTTTTTTAACTTGACATTTTAATTTCCCACTGAACAGTATGCTACAAAAATCAATATTTTTGAGGTTATATCCCTATTGTTGATTTAATCAAAAATTTTTGTTAACAAAATTTGTTTAGAATTACTTTAGGAACAGTGTTTGTTAATACATTTTTTTGCTAACTTGAAATTTTAATTTCCCACTGAATAGTATGCTACAAAAATTAATATTTTTTAGGTTACATCCTTATTGTTGATTTAATCAAAAAATGTTGTTAACAAAATTTGTTTAGAATTACTTCAGGAACAGTGTTTGTTAATAAAATTTTTTGCTAACTTGAAATTTTTATTTCCCTCTGAATAGTATGCTATCAAAATTAATTATCTCAATAATTATTGTTTTTATCAAAAAATGTTTTAAATAAAATTTGTTTCAATTTCGATTTTGAATCAATTATCTTAATAAAAAAATTTTACATCTCTATTAATTAAGCATCTAAGTATAATTATGTATAAAAACGGAAAAATTATTATTTTGAGGTTATCTCCTTAATTATTGATTAAATCAAAAAAAATTGTTGACAAAGTTTGTTTAGAATTGTTTCAGGAACAATTTTTGTTAACACAATTTTTTTCTAACTTGAAATTTTAATTTCCCACTGAACAGTATGCTGTTCTTTTAATCAAAATTTTCTGAGAACGAGTGGAGGGGGGAAATCGTATCGTTTTGTTACAAAAGTTCCGGGCCCTGCTTATAATATTATAAATATTAAAGGGTACTCATTTTATTGAATAATAGCGGTGAATAATCATTATTATTCACGTCAAAATTTATAAAAACGTCAATTTGATTTAATTTTTTTAGGACGTTCTAAAGATTTGATATTAAAAAAATGTAAACAGATTCCTTATTTGTATGATTTAAGAATAAATTAATTAATTTTCCTAAAAAAAAACATGACATTTCATAAAATTGACATTTAATTTTGTTAAATTGTTGTGAAGTTGGCTACAGTTGGTAACACTGAATTTGTGTCACATTGACGTTTAAACTTTGTTCAAAAATTTATTTAAAAAAATAAATTTATGGAATCTATTTCAATTTCAATCATTTTTGTTTTACTTAGTTGGAACACGAAGTGTTAAAAGTTCACAAAGCCCATGAAGAACTAGTTCAAACGTGCGATCGACGCGAACAATTAGAAAAAACAGCGAGGGCACGATTACAAAACGATAATCGACGAATAATTGAACAAAATCGCACCTTAAAGGAACAAATGGATTTTTATCGTAACCAAGCTTACGCCAGATCACCAACAGCCGATGGATCGGGAATGGACAGCTTAAGAAAAGAATTAAATAAACGGGAAGTTTTAATTTCCCAATTAATAACTCAAAGTAAGTTATTGCAACAATAATACTTATTATTTAATTAAATGTTAATAATTTTAGATAAAGAATTAGTGGCGGCTAAAGAACGTCAAGAAATCGAATTGGCAGCACAACGAGCAACGTTACAAGAACAACGCACTCACATCGATATTTTAGAGGCAGCTTTAAATAATGCTCAAGGTAACGTTGTTCGTTTGGAAGAAGAAAACCGGAAAAGGCAAGTTTACGTGGAACGGGCGGCTCAACTCCAACGGGCTTTATCTTCATTGCAATTAGCGAGTGATCGACGCGAACAAACCGAAAGACAATTAAGGTTGCAATTAGAATTGGAATTGCAACGAACGAAAAGTGCTAATTGTAGCGATAATTCCGATACCAATTTGCATAGTGATGCGATTTCGGAGTTGAAGAGGCGATTACGCGATCGCGAGGAGAAAATTATTACTTTGGAAGGGGAATGTTCGAAATGGGAGCAGAGGTATTTGGAGGAAAGTGCTTTGAGGCAAGCTGCTATTGATGCTGCTAGCATTCCTAAGTAATTATTATTTTTTTCTTTGATATTATTGGTTATGATGATTTATGATTCTTTTTTGTTTTGTATTTAGGGATGCGAAAATCGCTGCTTTAGAAAAAACCAGTCAGGAAACTGAGAAGATTATCGCCGAAGCACGAAATGAAAAGATTCGTCACATGGATGAAGTTCATGCGGCTCAGAAAAAAGTTGCCGATTTAGAATCTAAGTAAGAAAGTTACTTTTTTCAGAAAGTTTCACCAGAATGTAATCAGCCTTGCTGACATGTTGCATATCATCTAACTTTATTGATTTGCAATCTTCAAGCGTTTATTCTCTTAAAAGCCACAATAAGATACCTCAATGCTTCTCTTATTATATGAAGATGCTAAAGATAACCACAGATATGATTCATTGTTCTTGCTGAACTATGATCTATCTACCCCAACAAACATTAACTCAGACATTATTACTTCTTCTGAAAGGATATTAACCTTACCATATAATACATATACCTGATTTTGTCTAACAACCATGAGTAATTACCAATATTGCAAGTACTGCTCAACAACCATGACCTTACATAACAGTCTTCTTATATTCTGCAAGGCGATTAACTACTAAGGACACAAATTCGACTTTGCTTAAGTTCCCTCACAAGGTATGATCTTCCCATTGCATCAGATATTGTTCAAAATGAGAATGAGCTTGCATAACAACCAGAAGTTGGGCTGTGCTATACTTGGTATGTTTGCTAAGAACATAATACTAGGTATAGGTTTAACCCTATCCAACTCAACACAACATTATAGATATTACTCAAGACCTTATTTGACTTAATCTAGGTTTCCACTAAATTTGCTGCTTTATCTAAAATCCTTCATTCTTATTATAATGCCAACACAATATGTTATTACACAATATAATAGACTCGCACTTTCCACCTTGAGCACTTCTCTGATTAATGCTTACGAATGGTAATAGAATTTACGAGATGGCACGTTCGTCTGTCTTAACCTAAAGTCCCTAGATTTACAACTTCCCGTTTATTTAATTCTTTTCTTAAGCTATCCATTCCCGATCCATCGGCTGTTGGTGATCTGGCGTAAGCTTGGTTACGATAAAAATCCATTTGTTCCTTTAAGGTGCGATTTTGTTCAATTATTCGTCGATTATCGTTTTGTAATCGTGCCCTCGCTGTTTTTTCTAATTGTTCGCGTCGATCGCACGTTTGAACTAGTTCTTCATGGGCTTTGTGAACTTTTAACACTTCGTGTTCCAACTAAGTAAAACAAAAATGATTGAAATTGAAATAGATTCCATAAATTTATTTTTTTAAATAAATTTTTGAACAAAGTTTAAACGTCAATGTGACACAAATTCAGTGTTACCAACTGTAACCAACTTCACAACAATTTGACAAAATTAAATGTCAATTTTACGAAACGTCATGTTTTTTTTAGGAAAATTATTTAATTTATTCTTAAATCATACAAATAAGGAATCTGTTTACGTTTTTTTAATATCAAATCTTTAGAAAGTCCTAAAAAAATTAAATCAAATTGACGTTTTTATAAATTTTGACGTGAATAATAATGATTATTCACCGCTATTATTCAATAAAATGAGTACC